CGCTTCAAGGATGGAGATATCATACACCTATCGGAAAGTCGCCAAAGGGGTTTACCTGGAATTCACGCAATCGAAAACAATGTGTAAATCCACCACAAAATTAATCCGATTGTAAAGTCGCACAAAAGGGAGTAGACTCGTCATCCACACAATGGGAATCGAATTGTGAATCGCCCACCCACACAAGGAATCCGATTGGAAGGCCGCACCACAAAAATATGTGCAATCCGCACAATAGAACTCAATGTGTGAATCGCCCACAAAAGGTATTCGATTGAAAAGCCACACGAAAGGATTTCATGTGTAATCCACATTATAGAAATCAGTGTAGAAATCGCCGACAGAAGGCTTACTTTTGAAAAAGAGCAAGAAAAAGTGTTGGACCGTCCGATTCTATACAGTATTATATTTACGAAATACATATATACACATATGTGTATACAATTGTCCTTTCTTTTTGTTGCGCCCACCCCTCCCCCGGAACAAAAGCAGGAAGAATCAAAGCAATGGACGGGGGATGGTGTTCTGTGTTTGTCGTGGCCTCCATAGAAAGAAATATATTTTGTGGACGGTTTACATATTCATTTCTATTGTGTAAATTACAATCAGAATCCCTGTGCGCGGATTACAAACAACATTTCTATTGTGCGGATTGCCAATAGAATCCTGATGTGCGGTTTTTCAATCGAATTGCTTGTGCGGGTGATTACTTGCGTTAGGCTTCTACTGTGCCAAGTTATTGTTTTTGCTTATGTTCATTATGCTCCCAGCGATCCCTGACTGTTTCTGGCCTCCATTAAAGAATGCCTTTTGTGGGCGATGTACACATTGATTTTTAATGTCCAAATTATACTTAGTATCCTTGTGCGCCGCTCTTCAGCATTACAGAATTAGGCGACGAGGAAGATGAAGGAAACGAAATATGAAGAAAAGAAATTACACACACCGAATAATCAAACAACTTCCAACATATTTACACACACGCACCAAGAAAATGGTTCCCAAATAGTTCTAGATGTCCCCCTTACGAGCCTCCCCTGGACATCGGCTTCCCTATCCGCCACCGCCCCTCCCCAAAAGGGCAAGTGGGGGGTCGAACCGGGCCCCCCCCTTTCCAACAGGGGGGCGGACGGGTTCGAACCAGCCCCCCTCCCCCCCCCTTGAATTGCCAGGGGGGGCGTTCAAACCGGGAAGGGGGCGGCCCCCCCTGTCCCAATGGCGGGGGGGTTCGAACCTGGGGGGCCCGCCCCAAGGGGGGCAAGAGGGCTCGAACTGTGGGGGGGGGCTCTCGCCCCTGACTTGCAAGCGGGGGGGGGGTTCGAACCGCACCCCCCTCCCCCCCCCAAACCTTGTGCGCGTTGTCGACGTCTTCGCTGGTCGCCGTCGCGTTCGTCGCCGTCGCCTTCGTCGCCGTCGACGTCGTCGTCGTCGCCGTCGTCGCACGTCGGCGGTCGCCGTCGCCGTCGCCGCCGCCACCGTCGCCGCCGTCGTCGCAAGTCTCCCCCGTGCAACTCAGGGGGGGCCCTGTGCGCGTCGCCGTCGTCGCCGTCGCCGTCGCCGTCGCCGTCGCCGTCGCCGTCGCCGTCGTCGTCGCTGCCCGACGGCGCTGGCGCCGGCGCCGGCGCTCGCCGCCGTCGGTTGCAGGGCCCCTGCCGGCGCTCGCCGTCGTCGGTTGCAAGGGCCCCCCCCCCTGCAACTCAGGGGAGGGGGGGCGGGCCCCCCAGTTCGAACCCCCCCCGTGCAACTCGAAAAGGGCGAGGGGGGGGACCGGGGGGGGGCCCCCCCCCCCCCCCCAATTCGAACCCCCCCCCCTGGGGGGGGTCACCCCCGGGTTCGACCTCCCCCCCCTTCCCAGCGGAACGGAACGTGCAAGTCATAAGTGAGGAACCCTCCTCCTTTGATCGATCTCTGTCAAGATGGCCCCCGAGGCTCCCAAGGGTGCCCCAAGACGGCCCAAAGAGGTGCCCAGGAGGTCCCAAGAGGTGCCCAGGAGGTCCCAAGAGACCCCAACGATACCTCCAAGATGCCCATGCTCCCCTTTTGGGCTACGACGTCTTATCCAGCCCATAATTCCACTGCATCTCCTCAACAAGCCTGATCAGGTCAATTCGTCTGGGCCTCGTTTTCTGGATGGACTGGTGAGGTTACGCGAGGCGTGTAAAATTAGAAAGCGGAGGTAGGAGCAAGGAAGGCGGAACCAGTAGCGCTGAAGGGAATAGTAAGACAACCAAGGAGGACACCGTAACTGTCGAGAGAAGGGGGGAGGAACCGTGAGAGGAGCAGAGGGAGAAGTGGGGAGAGGAGGCGAAGGGCTAAAAAGGAGTCGGGGGTTGCGAATCGAGGGAGGAGGAGGGAGGAAAGAGGAGATGGAGGCGGAGGGTCCGAGGAGAGAGTGAGGGAGGAAAGAGGCGCAGGACCAGGAAGGAGTCGGCGGAAAAGCCAGGCCAGATCTGTCCCACTGCTGTCATCTGCTTGCACCCTTGGCACGAAACGTGGGGAC